GATACTTATGTCTATTATACCCTCTTATAGAGAGAGCATGCTATAGTACAAGCCGTGAGCATGGAATATTAAGAATTCATATTATATCTACATATGGCATATGCCTATTTGTACGAGATGAGCCTATAAACTCAATAACCTCCTGAACCTGCTCATCTGATAGAATAAGTGGCCTACCTAAACACTTCTTTAGAGTTGGAGGGCCCTGGCAAGCATACCATGCCTGTCGCTCTAAGCAGCCTATATAGTGTGCTATTTGTTTGAACTCCCAATCTAGGGAGCGTAGTATGGCACAATGGAGCTGGTCATCACGAGTAAGGTGAGGCATTATAGTTATAGAAAGAGTAGAAATTTCCTGTTACGGCTAAGTGCTAGTGCTATGGCTAGTGCTTATGGCTGCAACCTCATGTGATGGATAACATTGGATAACATGGATATTATGTTATCCATGTTCTCCACAGATATCCCTTTGGCACGGCGCCACTATATAAGTAGATAGTATTTCCTTAGATAGGAGCTTCGTGCTCAACTCAATATAGTATTCTTTACAATACTGTAACATGTTACTTGGAAAGCCTTTGTGTCTAATCCCCTGCCTCCTCTGTCAAGTCAACCTTACGTAAGAAACCTCCGTGTCTTCTATCATTTAGAAGTCAGCATTACATTTCCTACATACAAAATACTATAAGGATAATTTTGACACATTTACAGGTACAAACAAACCCATGCGTACCCATGCTCCCCCCCCTGCCCAAGCCCCACTTTTCCCATAACCCACTCACAAAACTTATGAACATTACCTCTGTATATACCACCTTTAGAAGGTCTGACAAAACTTAGACTGGCATTGCTATTCCCTTGACTTCTGGTCTCCATGCTTCGAAGCATCTGATGATGGCGAGTAACTCCTTGTCATAGATTTCGTAATTGCATTCTGCAGGTGCAATCTTTTTTGAGAAGAATGCAACTAGATGTAGGATTCCCTTGTCATCTTTCTGTAACAGTACCCTAGAGGAAATAAAATCTAAGGCATCAGCTTCAACATAGGCTGTCTTCTCTCTATCGAAATGTCGTAAGACTGGGGCTTCTGTGACAGTCTTTTTCAGAAGTGTGAATGCTTCCTGACATGCTTCTGTCCATTCAAAGACATGGTCTTTTTTCGTTAAGTTGACGAGTGGTTTCATGATGTTTGAATAATTCTTGATAAACCTTCGATAGAATACACAGAATCTGATAAGCGTGTCCCGTAATGATTTTGGTGTTTTCCAATCGAGTATAGTGTTCACCTTTCCAGGATCCATGCGAATTCCATTAACTCCAATGATGAGTCCTAAGAATTTTGTCTCTTGAACAAAGAATTCGCATTTTGCTTGTAGTCCTGCTTCTCAAAGCTTTTGCAGAACCATTTTGACATTCTTAACATGTTCCTCCTTACTTGTGCTATAGACGAGAAAATCATCCATGTATGCAGTGATGAATTTGTTTATATATTCCATTAATGTTTAATGTTTCATTCATATATTGTTGGAATGTTGCTGGGCCATTGGTAAGTCCAAATGGGAGAACTTTGTATTTGTATGATCCAAATCAAGTTTTGAATGTTGTCAGATCTTCCTCCTCCTCTGTCTGCATGCGAATTCGAATCAATCTTTGTAAGATATTTGGCACCCGTGATTTGAGCCAATGTTTCATCAATGAGAGGAAGTGGGTATGAGTCTTTCCTTGTGATTGCATTTAGTTTGCGATAGTCTATGCAAAATCGAAGTCCACCTCCTGGTTTGCATACAAATAACACAGGCTTGGCAAATGGTGCTTTGCTAGCTTCAATGAACCCTTTGGTAAGATTGTCCTCCACGTATTTTTTCACAAAATCAAGCTCTTCTTGAGACACGTTATAGAGTGGTGCATGCCCTAGTTTCGAGTTCCCTTCTAACACAATGTGATGGTCTGCATATCTGTGAGGCGGGAGCTTGTCTGCAGCCTGTTTTGAGAACACATCGAGATATTTATGGAACTCCTTTAGAGGATCAGTTTTGGGTTGATTTCTTTCATTTCTGTAAGGATGCCTGTCCCTCAGTGACAGAAAGGATGTGAGTCGGGCAGGTTACGGTCACGTGATAAGAGTAAAGGCAGGTTAGCCGAGTCGGACCCGTTTTGGGTACTTAAGGAGATTGACCCAACGGGGGGTTCCTCTCCCTCAGTGACGGAAGGTATCTGAGTCGGACAAGTCACGGTCACGTGGTGAGAGTGGAGGCAGGTTAGCCAAGTCGGACCCGTTTCGGGTACTTAAGGAGATTGACCCAACAGGGGTTCCTCTCTTCATCTTTTTTGTATCCTTCGTAGTAGACCTATAGGATAGCATCCGTTTAGCCTCTGGCTCGCATATGCTATTACTGTGAGCTGGGTGCCCTGTGTCCTTACAGTTTCCCCCTTTGCTTGTTTAGCGAGTATATCTTTAAATATTGAATTGTGTAACGTACATGTATAGCGAAAGCGCCAAACAAGCGAAAGCGCCAAAATTATCTACCCTCACGACAAACATTGCGATAAATCTACCACAACATTAGAAATCAATTGAAACTACTCGGAGTCCTCTTCCTCAGAGGTGTCTATTACAATCTGACACGTGCGCGCATTGTGCCCAGTCTCACCACACTTGCCACAGCGACGGGCACGGGTTTCTTCCCTTGGCTTCCGACCACGGCTTGCCCTTATTTCCTGCTCTACCTGCTGCACAACATCCCTCTCATCCTGTAGCTCTTGCGCCCCTTGTTGACTAAGTGATCCTCCTTGCTGTAGTCGTGTTTTCCTAGCTCTCCGGCGCTTGCTTAGTACTTCATTTGCCTGTCGTAGGTTTTGGTTCTCTCCCTTTAGCAGTGCTAATTGATGCATTATTTGCGATGCACCCTTTGTAAACTGGTCAACAGCTGCATAGATTGAGGTTGGAGAGCTATTTTGATGGCGTGAAATCCGAGTTTTAATAAATGTAGACTGTGACATAGCTTCAATTGGGTTGTTTGGTGTCTGAGAAACCCAAGGTTGAGCAGTACCTGGGCGGGAGCTTGGAGGCGTTGGTGTCCTTAACTTAAGATCAAGTGTAGATATCACTCTCTCAGGGTCAAATGGAAGAAGCCCTGCCCCTCGGAACCCGCCTCAAATGTTACTTTCCGTCATTGTAGTGTTAAATGCAGCGTGGAAGGCAGGAAAGAAGTCATCCTTTGTAATATGAGAAATATGAGCCTGCATCATATCTTCAATTTGCAGACCATAGGCCTGCTTTAACGGGCCGAAACAGCCAACATCAAGTGGCTGGAGTAGATGAGAAGAGTGAGCAGGCATACAAAGCGTAATAATATTGTGTTCCTTGCAGTACTCCTCAAACTCATCTGAGTGGTGGCTCTCATGACCATCAAGGACTAACAAGCGATAACCACCAACACTCCGGGCCTTTGTATGCTTCTCAAAGTGCTGAATCCAATCCATGCCTCTCTCGTTTGTAGTCCAGCCATTTTCAGTAACAGAAATCACCCAATCGCTTGAAAATCCACTATTCTCATACCAAGATGTAAGGTGGTTTTTGCCTGCAACAATGATAAATGGTGGTACTGCCCAACCTTGAGAACTAACGCCTTGGATAACTGTAACCCATTCCCGATTACCAGGCTGTACCTTCTTTGCTTTTGCCCGCCCGTCTGAGCTTGTTACAACCATAGCAGTTGAGATAACGCCCATCATAAACCCAGTCTCATCAAAGTTGTAGATATCTGCTTCATCGATACCATATTTCGCAATTGTGTTACGCACAAGCTCAAACCAGCCATTAATAACTTCTGGATCTTCGCACTTAGCCCTCTGGTAGTCGTATTTGCGCTGAAAGCGTGTCTGGAGCTCTACACGCCGCTTAACAAAGTTTGAAGCCCAACGCGACCCAACGCGTGACGCGTCGCGTGTTGCAAGTAGTCGACTTGCCATATCTTCAACAACAGACAGCCGAGGAGGAAACCCTTTGGCAGCTAGGTCGAGTATATACTGAACAAGGACGGACTCCTCTAGGTTAGTTAATTTCCGTGAGTTGGCTTGGATATCGCGTCGTAAAGGTACACCTTCTAGACGACGACCTAGCTTGCGGTGGTCCACAGAATAGATCCTAGCAGCAACTCGAAGGCGTAACTTTGGGTCGCTTTGCATAGCCTGGATAGCTAGCACTAATTGGCTTTCATCGTTTTTATGGGGCATGTTTTGTTGTTGAGGAATTTAACATTTAGTTGGGGGGTTTGGTCACCGCATCATTTTGGCGCTTTCGCTTGTTTGGCGCTTTCGCTATACATGTACGTTAGTGATGTTGCTGGTTTCTAAGATGAAGATATTGCTAGGCGAAAGATCGGGGTGGCGGATGGTTAGGGCATTCAGACCTTCTCCGTTAGGAACGAGGTGAGGAGCGACCTTCAGATAACCGGCTAGATATTTTACTTGGACTTGTGGATCTACTTGGTAAAATTCCGTATAGAGTGGCTCGCGCGGGTATCGTTTTTCGCTGAATTTCTAGAGCCACCTGGTCTCCCTCTCGCCAATTGCTGTCAACAGTTCTATGCTACTCTGCCCTATAATTTGCTTGGCCAGCTAGGGTGAAGCAGCGCGGCTATAAGTACCTACAAGGCCCATGATTTACGGCAAGCTTATGTCGGTTTTGGTACCACTATAGATAGTTGACGGCCCTACGCAGAACTTGGCCCTAGATGTAACGCCAGCACCATCTGGAATGTCCACACTCTTCTCATCTGCGCCTAAGAAATATTTGAAGCACAGGCTCCCACTGGCAGGAAACTGTACTCCGAACAGTATACGCTCCACTTCCACAATCTTTCCACAACGGCCATCCTTCCTGAAGGTCATACTCTGCCATGTCTCCGATAATTCTCTCCCCGGAACCCGCTCCATGACAATATATTCGGAGCCAACCTCATTAGATGCTGATGAATCCTAATCAAAAACTTAGGGTATCAGAACCCCTCGAGGCCGGAGGAATTCCATTGTTGCAACCTCGCTGGCGACACCATACCCACGAGGAATGGTACAAGGATAAGGAAGTCGCGCGACAGCCTTCGATCCATCCCTGAAGCTTGCCTCAAAAACTCGATACGATCCTCCCTCTGCAATCTTTGTAAAGAGGGTAATATCATCGATAGTGCTGGACCGAGTTGGCAACGACTTGGCATAAAGCGTTTATGTTGAAGTGGGAGCTCGGTTGGGGAGTTAGATGTGGGTTCAGAGTCGGCGTGGCTCCTAAAGTCCAGGGGGTTGACGTAGTCTCCGCTAAAGAGGTCCTTGTGCAGGGGGAGTGGAGCGCCGCTTTGGATAGCACAGCCTGCGAGGATAGTGATGAAGTCTAATGGCGGTTAGTATTATATGTTTTCCGTCACTAGCTAAGGTCAGGCTTACAGTTTGATAGGTATGTTTGGTCGCCTTGTCGGATACAATCCTTGCATCTATTTATTATTACCTCCGACGGAAGCGTGTTCGGGCAGTAATCGTATGTGGTAATATTGGGAGATAGGCCTTGGTATTGGAGATTGCCCTGGAAGGGTTCGCATGCCCGACTTGTGAGACACGGCTAACGAATTTATCAGTATATGCAGTAGGAGATCCAAGGTTCGACAAAAAAGCTCACTGTATTCTGCACACTCGAGTTGCCCGGAAACCCCCACATACAACTACTCATTGCATAGCGAAGGTTATCTTTGAAATTACAAGTCAGCACTGAGACATCCATCTACACGAGAGAGTGATAGAAGGATGCTTACAGAGTACCCATTTCAGGTCTGTATCTCCCGTTTTGGGGTCCATCGCAGTGCTTGCCATTTGGCACGATATGCATTTCGAGAATACCTGGCCTTTGGCCGTGTTCAAATCTGCTTGGGTGCAGAGGATCTCAGAGTTTGTCGTCGACGTAACATCTCCACATAGCGACGCACATGGCGACGATGGAACTGTTCGTATGGCTGCGCTCTGTCCGACGAATCCAGCTGCCACTATCGCCGTCGACGGAATGAAAAGACGCATGGCTAAAATATCAAATGGGTATCTAACCCGAATTCTTGGCTCTAACGAGGCCCTTTTCAGAGTGACCGGCACGACAATCATGTTGCACCGATCCGAATACTGTTGAAACCCGATGATAGTGTTGCCGAGTTTCTCCAAGATGTTCAGCGTCAAGCTTATGAGATTGCTCCATTTGAGCGGACTGGTCTTCGAAGAATCCGCTTAACTGGCCCTAGTTAGCAGAGCCGGGCAATAAATTGAAATAAGTTAAATCTCGTAAGCTTACAGCCATCTCCCAGACGTGTAGTTATAAAACGGATGGTATTGTCGTTGATGTACACGTGCTTTGCCTGGCAATCCGCCACGCTGCTCTTCCTTGATTGATGGAACCAGAGATTAACTGACGAGACTCTCCCACGGGGGCCACAAAAGCACAAGGGTCTACAAATGTAACTGCTTTTCTGCATCATGCCAATTGATATCCGTAGATATACAGCTAGTTTGCAGGCGCGAGACGTTTCGTTCTCGAAATAAACAACACGCTAGCGATTGCTAGGGCCGGGTGGCACCGTTGCTGATCGGCGCCCTGGCAGGCTCTTTCTCTCTCGATTGAAAGCTTGGTATGGGCTTGGCTACCTACTTGAGTATACTCTATAATCCTGTGCTTGTGTTATTTTGGGGTCGTGGCAGGCTGCATGGATAATTTTGATTTGCCCGTCATGATTGGTATAGTATATTCCACTTGGCTGCCAAAGTCTCATAAGCTGCATATAGTATCTTGCTGTTGTCACATACAAGCCAAACTTCGATACACCTTGGGTCAGTCAGGGGATACAGTGAGAGAATATGAGTTGTGGGCTATTCCTCACTTTATAAATCATGTTTTCGAACTTTGTTCTTGATTCGCAACCACCAGTCTGGCTCTTTCTTTAAAATTAGTGCTAATATAGTTTCCAGCCTCTTTATTATCCCTGGTATTAGTTCCTTCGTAGACCCCTGGTTGTTATAAAAGTTAGATGTATTTGTTCTCCAAGCCACCCCGAATGAACCGAGCTAATGATTGCTTAAAGCTATCCAACATGATAATCAACGTATATGCACTCATACAGACAGACGTAGTCCCATTCTGTTCCCGTCATCCTTGGCGACAGCAGTAAGTTCGTGCGAACTTGGCGCTTGTGGCTTCGCCCGATATTTTCTCTTTGATCGCCTATTACTTATACAACACCATGCAATCATGCCAACCAGTGTCATAAAGATCAAGGGCAAGCCTATCTCAAGGAAACAAACCAGCTCATTTAGCCCTTGCAACCCGCCGCCGTCACCATCACCTTGGTTAGGCTGCGCACTGGGTACTCATGAGTCGAGTAGTAGAATTTCTACTCACCCAGCTGAGTTACTCACTCATATCCCGAGTATTGTTGAATGAGGATTACTCACTTGCCGGGTACCTAGTATAGGTCTTGGCAACCCAGTTATATCACGTGTTTGATTAGTCATTGAAAAGGGGGTGTGATCGTGACTTCACATTGATATCGATATCGTAAAACGCCATAACTCAATAACTCCATTCCCATGTCGTTGATATCCTATTCCACACTATAACCTTTGCCTTTAGGTACCAGGTTACCAGAAGGTTGCCAGAACTTATCTAACCTTCATTCCTGGGTGAGAGACATTTCCATCGATTAAGCCTACAGCTCCATGATTAAACATCATATCCCGCAAACGCCTAACCAATACCATATCCTTTGCCTGAATTGTCACTCTCTTCGCATGAATAGCAAGGAGATTTGTCACTATAACTGTTAGTATGTCCCTGTCACTATGTTCAAGTATCATACTCTCAAATTCTCGAATGAGGAAGCATTCGGCAGCTTCCTGGAGAGCTAGGATAGCAGATTGCTGGAAGCGAAGATTGGACTTGAAGTCTTGTGCGATTTCCCTAACAAGACGCTGGAATGAGAGCTTTGGAATAATCAGGCGAGTATCAAGTTGCTGTCTTCTGATATCGCGGAGAGCCTTGGTGCCTATATGTTTATTAGAGAGTTCTGGTAATCCTCTGGTAATCCTCTTACCAGACTTTGCACGGCGCATGGCCTTCTGAGCATGATTGTTGCAAGCTTGAGATGAGCGAACTGGAGCTTTTCTTGCTGTGCGCACAGCCTTTTCCTTTCCCTTTCCCTTTCCACCAAGCCTAGAGCCAGCCTGTAATCCAAGTGGCATCCTTGGTGCTGTGCCGCCAGTTGATCTCCTAGCAGTTTGCTTAATACGAGCCATTTGCTAACATTAAGATGAGTTAGTGAAGTATACACAAGACAAAGAAGTAGATCAAAAGATATATGTACTTACAGTGAGTTTGTAGCAAGGATGTTGTAGAAAGAGTAAAGAAAGAGGTAGAGGTTGAAAGGTATGTGTTTTATTTGAAGGTACGCGTTGTAGTGTTGTTTAGAACAGTAATTATTTGCAGGTGAATATTCCTTGACGAATATAATTGTTTGCAACTTTAAAAAAACAACAACCTTACAACCAACCACCTTCCTTGGTTACGTTCCGATCTACACATTCTTCTTCTCTTTTGCGCTTTACCTCTTCACTAGGACCTCAAGTAAGTTTATTATCTTGATTCTACAGTCAGAACTTCTGATGATCTTCTGCTAATCACGTGTTTAGCATGGCGAAACGCAAGGCACCTGAAGAACTCTCCACTAATTTGAATACTATCAAAGCTCGCAACCGCGTCTCCAACCTTACTGAAGATGAGAAGGCTGTTCATTTAGCACTCAAGGCTGACCATGGCGATCTGAGCTACTACTTAAAGAAGTTATACAAGTCTGCAAAGTATATCGCTGCCTCTGCTGAAGACAAGACACGTCTACAGAATGAATTGAAGGTTGAGCGTATTCGTGTTCGGTAAGTTCCTTCTGGTAATCTCTGGTAGCCTTAATCTAACTATAAACAGGACTGAAAAGGGCACCCATGCATCTTGCATTGCGAATCAGAAAGTCAAGAATACTAGCGCCCCTTCTTCTTCTCCACAAGCCCCACCATCTACTCCGCCACAACTTCTGTCTGAGCTTGCTGCATTTGAGGGTATCACCAGTATCCCAATCGATGACGATCATAACAGCGAATGGGAGGATACTGAGGTTGAAGACGATTTAGAGTTGGAGCTTATGTTACGGCGCGACGATATTTTAAATGACGAGGCTGTTCTACCAGATGAGCTTTCTGATGAAGAGATCGCTAGCATCCAGGCTCTCTTAACTCAAGCACGCATTGATGTTGGTACCTCATAGTCTGGTAATCTTCTGGTAATCTTCTGGTAATACTAACGGTTGATAGGCCCATGAAGAGTCCAATTTCCGCAAGTGGCAACATTTCTGGGATAGCTGTATCCGCTCATATACGAGAAAGGCTGGAAAGCTGAGAAAGAAGCCTGAGCATCTCTTTGAATATATGCCATGGATTGATGTAGAAGAAGGGTACGTCTCTGATCATTCTAGCAATCTTCTAGAGATACTAATTGTTTATTATAGCACTTTTCACAACGTTATCCCACCACATAAATATTTCTGTTTGTACGAGCAGGCAGTTTGGACAAACTTTACAGCTTGGAAGTTTGGAAAGTGGGCCCAATTACCAGGACCTGCGCAGTGGTACCCAAAGTCTTACAATCTTGTCGACAACGGATGGTTACAAGTCTCCACTCATAGTTCTAGCTTCAAAGAGGCGTTCTTACTTGTCTACTCTAAGAAATTTGATAAGGAAAAGTGGGCTAAGGTATCAGCTGCACAGGATATGTTGTTTCTGGAGTTAGAGTAGAGGAGAGAAATGGAGTATTTGATTTTCCGACGCGAATAGGGGCTATAGAGATTTAAGTATTTCATCGTAGCCAGACTTCTGGTAATCTTCTGATAATCAAACAATTTGCTACTTGCCAAATGTCATCGCAATATTCAGAGTTGTTTGACTCTGACAATCCTATTTCTAATATATTCTCAGACTCTCTCCCCTCTTCTCAACGACTACCTTTATTAAATCAAATCCCTGCGGGCCTCGAATATACTGGCAAATTAAACCAATTCATCAAATGGACTAAGGATACACACGATGTATTCATTGAGTGGTGGAAGCTATCACGATGGTATGAACAACACTCAGATCATACTACAAAACTCCTTACGAAGATTGCATGGGATTCAACCAACCGGAGTTCTCAATACTGGAGAATTTATCACCAAGGAGCAGACCGGCTTTCTGGAGAACCATGTGTCATTTGTACCTATTGTTCGAAGGCCCTTACGCATCCTGCAATCAAGTCTGCTGGCCCAAAGTCTATGGCAACACATCTTGCATCAGACATTTGCAAAAAGAAGTCACGGATGGGTAAGGATAGTCTCTATCAAATGCGAATCAATCAGATGCGACCTCAACAGGTAAGGATTACCAGATTATTACCAGAATTATATAGGCTAATATCTATAATAGGATCATATTCTCACACAAGAGGCATTTTACGAACAAGTTCTATACACAGTTATCTCAACTCATAGCTCGTTCCGCTCAGTCGAGGATCCTGAATGGAAAAGGCTTGCTATCTTACAGAATCCTCACTATCCACTACCCTCAGCAACAACTATTCGAAACCTCTTAACAACAAAGCTCACACAAATCGAAGAAGAGATGCTACAAGATGTTGTTCCTGGTTCAAAGATTGCATTATCGCTCGACTGTTGGTCAAGTGTTACTCGACTTCATTTATGGGTGTTATTGCATCATTTATCGACCGTCATTGGAAAATGCAAGAGGTCTTGATTGGGTTTGAACCTATATATACAGATCATACTGGTGCTGAGTTATGTGGAATACTTGAAAAAGTTATCACAAGGCAGCATTTAGAAGGACGAATTATATCCATTACGACTGATAATGCGTCAAACAACACTTCAATGATGAGAGATGTGGAAATAATGCTTGATAGTATTGCAGACAACGAGCATTTCATTGGAGGAAAAGTACAACACATACCCTGCCTAGCTCACGTTATTCAACTTGCCCTTAGTGCTCTCCTTGGTCGAATCCGGATTACGCCAACAAATCAAGAGATCTTAATGAACTGGGAAGAAGAGAATCAGATGGAGGGCCTTGCAAAGTTGCAGAAGGACAAGGGTATTGGATTTACACTTGGAAAGGTATATATTCTCTTGTTAGTTCTGGTAAACTTCTGGTAGTCTTTTCTAATATCTCATAGCTCCGGAAGCTCACTATCTTTGTTAATTCAAGTCAAACTCGAAGGAACAGGTTTATGACTTTGCAAAAGGCAAACATGAACCGGGGTCAATCATCTCAGAGGCTTCTTCGACTTATTCAAGATGTATCAACTCGATGGGATTCGACATGCCATATGCTTCTGCGAGCACAGCAACTCAAGTCAACAATCAATCAATATACTCGAGGCAATCATGGTGCTCACATGTTCAGACTTAGCGAGCTAGAATGGAAGCACATCGAATACATCATTGATCTTACAAGGCCATTCAACTTCTTTACAACAAACATTGGATCGTCAGCCGGACCTACTGTCTGCTATACACTTGGAGTATATCAAAAACTCTTATCAACGCTTGAAGGAACTCGGCACCGGCTACGGCATAAGACATATCCATGGGCAGCAAAGATGACTTTAGCAATCGATGCTGCAGAGAAGAAGATTAGGAAGTATTATAACAAGCTATACACAAATACTGGATCTATCTTCGCATTTGCTAGTATCTTAAATCCTAGTGTGAAGCTCTCACACTTTAACAAAAAGGTTTGCAAGCTTGACTTTTCAATACGAAATTGGGAGACAGAGTTTGAACAACAGTTTAGGACTCTTTATAAAGAGCAGTACTCTACAGTGCGAGTTGCGAGTCAATCAGGATTACGAGATGCAGATATGGATCCATTAGCCTTAGTATTGCAGCAAAGTCAGACATTAAATGGGACTCGGGGCCAGCGAGAGGAATATGTGAATGAGGCTGATCTCTATCTTGATGCTCGTAAGTTTCTGGTAATCTTCTGATAATCTTATTCTAACTTGTATAGCACATATCTACACAAAGATATTGCTATTTTGGCAACAAAAGGAAGAGCAATTTCCTGGTCTATCAGCAATGGCTCGTGATATACTTTGTATTCCTGCTGCTGAGTCTGGAGTTGAGCGAGTCTTTAGTGCCGCAAGGGACGTATGTGGCCACCGACGTGGTCAACTTAATCCTGAGACGATTAAGAGTATTATGCTTATATATTACTCTCGACAATACAAGAATCGTCAAGGTCATCGTGACAAGCTTGCAGATATGATGGACGTCGTTGATATGACTGAGGAGCAAGTCGAAGAAGAGTATGAGGCACAACGACAACGGATGTGCAATTCTATCGAGTTACAATATATCAGCGATGAAGAAGAACCACGATCAAATACACATATCCGAGAGACATATTCAAAGGTACAATATCCTCCGTTTAATCCTCAGCGGCCACAGCAACAGCAAGACTTATCACAAGCTGCACATGAAGAACGACAAATGCGCTACCAACAAGGTGAAGAAAGAGATAGGGCTGACCGTCTTAACGAGACCTTATACGACATCCCAGATGACGATATCCCAGATAATGAAGATATAAGAGAAGATGGTAATAATGAGGAGCCTATACTTCCAACTATTCATGACGATGAAGATAAGGATATGCCGTCCTCGCCACCAACGCCTATCCAACGCCCTCGGAAGACTGGAAGAGATCTACTTGATATCTTTCAAGCTACTCGTCAAGACCCTATAAATACTTTAGGTATTAGTAGGTCTGGCCGGCCTCATCAAGCAAGGTGGAAAGATGTTCTTGAGCATATATAATATAGTGTTCTGATAATCTTCTGATAATCGTGGTACTTAGATAGAGGAATATACGTGATTCGTTCTCACAGCTTATTAGAGATGGTAGAGTGATGCTGATAAATGTAATACTTTAAGTTAACTTACAACTGTAACCATAAAACAGTATTAATCGTATGAGGGACTGTTCACGTAATGCATATATCTTACACGTGACAGCCGAGTACTCACTGGGTTTTTACAGAGTAACTGAGTATTGGCCTCACTCACCGAGTCGAGTGAAAGGTTCAGCTACTCACCCAGCTGAGTAACCCACTGAGTGAGTGAGCCGAGTATTGGGCGAGTAGTGCGCAGCCTAACCTTGGTCATACATGCCCCTTTCAATAGTTACTCCTGGCTTCCACGCGGTATGAACTTGCTGGATGTCAATTCGGGCAGAGACGGCGTTAGCATGCTCGTATCAGATGCTTCCTATGAGATATGCCACGCCTGGTGCGCTTGGATGCCCTCGGTAAAATGGCGAGTTGACCCGGTGCCGTATGATAGCGTGCCCATAATTGATGCCTCATCGGCACAGACACGGCGATAGCATGGCGGTGTCATAGTTGCGATGGGACAGTGGGATCTGTCCTCAACGAGTGACCACTGTGCTGCGAGTCAGTTATGTCTCCGGAATGTAACGAGAGGGCGGGGGAATATGTAAGAGGGGATTGTTAAACGAATCAAGAGCCGCGCACAAACATACCTAGCGCAGCAATATGCTGTTGAAAAGGTTGACTTGTCTTTTCCGTTGTCGGCGACGGATACCGTAGACGCCATGGCAGCGGCTGGCGGGGACGATACTTTCCCATCCTGACGGTTGACAGGATGCAAAGCGCTCGTCAGCCGCGTCAGACACCAGGATAGTGATGTTCGTAGACACGCCTGAGACCAGCGACGAGACACTCGTCAGATCCCGGAGGCACAGTCGGGTCTCTGTATGAAGGGGGTTGTGAGTGCCAGGAGCTTCGTGGCAGTGGGGCTTGGTGTGGTGGTAGCACTGTCTTACGTGGAGACGGAGGTGGGAGTAGTGGAAGTCATCTGTCCGAGGTGGGACGTAAAGTGGAATGCGGGTTCGGCATGCGGAGATGACTATCGTGGTAGAATCCGCAGACTTTGCCAATTACAGTGGGCACGCAAAGTCCTCGAGTTGTTGGTATTTTGGGGAGGGGGTTGACGTCTTGATCCCCTTGTTGACATATGCCTACAGGGAAGGTGTCAATCAAATCGATTTTATATCGAGGCCTCTCTACCATTCATAAAATCAGCGGGATACAAATCTGCAAAACTCAGTGATGGTTCGCCTACTTTGTCCCAGCAGACGCCTTATCTTGCAGTGTGGGCTTAGCATTTTGAAACTACATCCAGGAACATCCAGACCTACACACTCGGATAGATTGCGACGTACATGAGGCTATTTACACATTGGATTACATATGGCAGGAACGACCAGTCGTCGTGCCTGCCATATGTTTTCTGCTTTCCAGTCAAGTGGCACTTGCTATAACAAGTTCGGCCCAAAAGAGGGTCATGAAGCGGCGCTAACTCAAGGTGTCGGCCAATGCTGCTCGTATGATGAAGATGAGGCCAATGAAGAACCGTATGATTGTATCTTTAAAGCTTCAAACAAATATTTACTTGTTCTACCAAATATCAATTGGAATTCGTCCCATACCACCTTTGAAAGAAGAAAAAACTCAGCTCCCCAAGTTACTCTCGCCACATTCATTTACCCGTCATAACAATGGTTGACAAAATGAAAGTCTACGTCCACGGCAGCTACCGCAACGTCGATGGACAATATCCTGTCGCCGTCTCCACTGCCGTCTTCACGCACGAGTCCGGCAGCCACAAGGCCTGGACGCGAATCGTTCCAGCCCAGCCCACCCCTACCCGCCAGCGAGCAGATCTCATGGCTATCGTGCTGGCGCTCGAAAAGGCAACAGTGGATGATGGTCGCCTCTACAACAAGCGTGCGGTGGATCTGAACATCTATTCCGGATCACTGTATGCCGTCAAGAGCCTCACGGATTGGGCCGACAGGTGGATCTACAATGGGTGGATCGGAACAGATGGACGCGAGGTTGACAACCAGGACTTGATTAAACGGGCGTTGCAGGTGGAGGAGATGTTGATGGATGGGGGGAGCGTGAGATATACGTGTATCCCGAAGGAGGAGAAGACGGAGGCAAATACCTATGGTGAGCATGCTCTGAACTTGTGGATGGGAGGCTTTCCGATTGGGTGGGAATGGGAATGGCCGAGGAACACCAGACAGGTGTAGGGAACCCACGGCATGGTCTATGCCTTGATAAGGATGGATGGCAGTGTGTAACTGTTACTTGTGGAACTCTGGTGAAGGCGATTTTCTCATCTGTACTGGTTTTAGGGCTGAGAAGGCAAAGCTGATAGACGATAGGCGACGGTAGAGGACTTGGTGCAATGGTATGGAGTTGGGAGTGATTACGTTCATTCAATAGAAGGATTCCAGCTACCAAGCTCATAATGATAATATGACTTTGGTTTTTATTTCATATGTATGCAATATGTCTAAACCATTTCATCAGTAGACAAACCACTAATCTGCATATTCTGCCACCTCCAACCATATCCCCGTCTATCCACTGCCCGGAATCCCAGACGCGCATCGTGCATAGTAGATGCCTGGAATGGTGCCCGCTCCGCACTTACATCCGTTGGCAATGCAGGCGCGCCCGACGAGATCGCCGGGGACGGCGACGTCACGCTTCTGCTGCTGGCTTGACTGCGGTAGCGGAGGCGAGGAAAGTCGTGGCCTGGAGGAGGAGGGAGGGGACAGAGCTGCTAATTAACTGTGCCTATGGCGGACTGGTTGTGATAACCAGGGCGTCCGCCACACTCTAAATGGATGACAGCCACGCTAACTAATAATATGGGGAAGTATCTAAGCCGTAAACGGGTACGTTATGCGATACCCACTCTTCATAATACCTAATCGGGTAATCTATGTCATCTATATGATCCTGAACTTTACCATGGTTAGCGCTCCTGCTAGAGCATCAACGCTGATCATACCAGGCAACACAGCACGTAACGCATTGCACGGAGTCACTTGGAACTCAAGACAATATTCCCACATCGTTGTCTATGCAACGTCTAAATCTTCAAGTTTTAAATTCTAAGTTGGAGGGAGAGAAAGTAATGCCAACGCCTTGACCAGTTCTCCTATTCCATCCAGTGTGGGGAATAATATGATATCATGATATATTGTCAGAATTATGGTATAACGTGGTTTATCAGTACGTCGGACATATCAGTACCTCGGACACTTTTCATTGGCATTCTACTTTGAATATCAATAAATCAACCATAACATATTAAATTAACTATAACTAAGCGGAATCAGATGAACTAGACATATCTATAGCTTCTTGACAAGTTCGCGCATTATGACCAGCTTTTCCACAGATCCCACAGCATCGCCTAGACGGTTGCCCCTCCTTGTGACTACCCCCAACAGCACGTACGTCGCGTCGTACCTGCTCATCCACATCCTTCTGTGCGATAATAGCCTGTGCATCCTCTACTATAAGTGCACCTCCTTCACGGACACGAGCCTTTTTAGCCCTGCGGCGTTTGCTAAGGGCTTCGTTGGCTGCTCGAAGGGTACGTACCTCAGCAGACAGAAGGGTGTTCTCATGTGCTAGTCGCTCCGTACCCTTTGCCAATGCAATAACTGTCCCGAAGAGTGGAGTTGGCAAGCTTCCTTGGTGACGGGCAATTCGATTTCGAACGAGGGTTGTTTGTGAAAGAGCTTCAGTTGGGTTGGAAGGGGTCTGGGAGACCCAAGGGTTGGTGTTGGCAGTAGAGGGTCTAGAGGGAGTTGGAGTCCGTAACCTCACGTCAAGCTTTGAAAGCACTGCTTGCGGGTCGAAAGGCACTAAGCCAGCTCCGCGGAACCCGGACTGGGCGTTTTGGGCTGTCATGGATTCCAGATATGCTGCTCTAAAGGCGAGAAAGAACTCGACCTTGGTAATGTGGTTGATATGAGCCTTAATGAAGGTCTCAATCTGCTGACCATATGCCCGCTTCAACACACTAAAGCACCCGACATCAAGTGGCTGAGTTAAATGAGACGAGTGGGGAGGTAGTCCAAGAGTTATAATGTTGTGTGCCTTGCAGTACTCTTGGAACTCGGCCGATTCATGACTCTCGTGCCCGTCTAACACCAGCATTCGATATGGACCCCTTGCACGAACAGCAGTATGTTTGTCGAAGTGTTTCAACCATTCTAGACCCGTCTCATTGTTTGTCCATCCATTGCTTGTCGGTTTAACAACCCAGTTGTGTGGAAGGCCGCCGTCTGTATACCAATTTGCAAGATGATTCTTGCCTTTAACTACCAAAAATGGAGGAATACTCCAGCCGTCACTGTTGATACAAGCAATCGCTGTAGCCCATTCCCGATTCCCTGGCTGAACTGCCTTACCTCTGCCAAGTCGATCTGCACGGGTAACAACCATTGCAGGGCAAATCACACCCATCATAAACCCAGTTTCGTCAAAGTTATAGAAGTCGCAGTCCAAAACACCATATTTTGCCCTCATATTTTCCACTAGTCGAAACCACGCGCCAATTAGTTCAGGATCTTCGCACAAGGCCCTTTGGAAGTCGTAAACGCGATTAAAACGCGTCTTTAATTCTGGACGTCGTTGTACAAATCGGTGGGCCCAGAGCTTCCCGACGCGCCTCCCTCCACGCGACTCGAGTATAAAATTTGCCATATCTTCTACACCAGCAAGCCGGGGTGCAAATCCTCTTGAATCCATATCAAGTATATTCCGAATAACCACCTCCTCTTCTAGTATAGTTAATTTCATCATTGCAGGCCGGCGTTCGTAGACAGTAGTTCGGCCGTTCATTCTGTCGCAGAGTGTAGAATGAGGTACTTCATAGAGCTTAGCAGCCTTCCGACGACTTAGATTTTTTGATGTTCGGATAGCCTCGATAGCTAGAATGATTTTTGCTTCTTGGGTAATCACTGACATAATAAAAGGTGGAAAAAACGCGTTGTGAAGTTAGAGGGTAGGAAATTCGGGAAAAGTGTCCGAGGTACTGATATGTCCGACGTACTGATAAACCACGTTATGATATTATCACCATATTACATCTTGCGATATTGTATCATGCCATATATCATGATATTAATATGGTGATATAGCAATATATTATAATACTAACAATATACCTTGCTGTCATCTACTCTTGACCCGTCGTCACTAATTCAATTATCTACCCAAGCTGTGCCTCCTCCCCTGTACCAGGATTTTAGGCACTCTAATGCCTCAACTGACTCAACTCCAAGCCTATTCCTCCTTTCAGTAATGAGAGCGGCACTGGAAAATAGGCGTTCAGGCTCAGCAGACATCGCTGGTATTGACAGTATGTCTAATGCCATCACTGCCAGGTTGGGATAGGTTGCATGCTGTGCTGGCTCCATCCACCAGGACTTTGGGTCAACTTCTGGTGTAATACCTGCCAGGCAGTACTTGATATACTCATCAATAACTGGTGGCTGCCGCCTCTTCTGCTCAAGCCAGATTTGATGCTCAGTCTTCTCCTGTACTAGCTCATTTGATGGCATTGCTAGTTGAGGTGTTGGCTTGTATTGCTCGTCCCAAAATAGCTGCATAGATGCCTTTGCTGTTACTATCCAAGTGCTCTCCCAGTTGTCTTCAATCCAAGTCCATTTTTGAAAGGGTACTAATACCATGGCTGCAATATAAGCTGGAGATCGTTCAGTCAGGCTATAGTACTTGTCTAACTTAGACCAGGCTGAATTGATACAAGGGCTAATATGAGAATCGTTGATATACACAAGTTTGCCAAGTTCAAGCTGCTCAAGTAGAAATTCCATTGTTGAGAGAATATGCTCAATTGTTGCCCTTTGGCCCTCTGTTGCTAGTGTTGCTTGATGAAAGAACTTAAGAAAGTGGTGGATATTTGTTAGTAAGACCCAGTCCTCATGGGAGAGCCAATCAGCCTCAATATCCTTTTCAGTTTGATGGCAGAATAGGTCAATTGCCAAGTGTATATGCTCTTGGATAGTGCAGTCGATCATAGCATACCAGGAGTTCCATCGAGTCTCGTTATCCCTGACTAGACGCTTGCCAGAACTGAGCTTGACAAAGGCAGCAATTCGTTGTGGAGATCTTTGAATATATACTACAATATTATGAAGCTTTCCAAGAGGACCTTTCTGACGCCAGCTCTCCATTTCAAGCTCAGAAGGAGTATCAGAACTGCCTTGATTGTTCTCTTGTGATAGGGCTTCTTCTTCAGTTGAAAAGAGAAAGGCCTGAGCAGTTAAATTGATAATATGACCATTACAACGAAGTCAGTGGTGAATTGGATTGTATTCGATTTGATACTGTTCCTGTAGTACTAAACAATATAGTTAGTTATTGGTAATAGCTATTTCTAACAAGAATAACTTGCAGGAAGAAAGCACTCTCATCATAGTTTCATTGTTCTCAGCATTGTCCATCATAAAATAGCCAACCTTCGAGGCAATTCCATACTCCTCAATAATTCTCATAATTAGTCTTGCCTGATTATCACCAGTATGTCGTCCTTCCAATTCTCTCAAAGCTAGAACTTGTCACGGTTCACCAAGGCATAGGGCGCCAGTTGGGTATTATGAATTAAACTCAATCTAGAGAAGAAAGGAAAGAGAAGAGGAGCACTCGAGCAGTGGCTCGATCTATATACAGCTATTGTGGAGTGAATTCTCTTTAGCGAGACCAGTTCTGAGAATTCACTCCACAACTGAAAACTTCGCTTCAACCCCGGAAAGCTCCCCACACCCCTGAACCCCCACTCGAGCTGCAAGGCGCACTTGATATCGTAACACTACCCCCCCCCCTACTCCAGAGTTGATCTCCTGATCAAGAAATCCCATTTTCAAAAAAAAACAATTGTCTCCAGCTCTCATTTTGGTTTCTGAGGGTATTTTCTGTGATATGCTTGGGTAACTTCTGGAGAATTTTCAAAGCTCTCTGCAGTATACCATGTCTTATCTGGTGGATAGTTCTTCCAAGCTGCCTTGTAGAAAAGCTTCTTTCGAATAACTTTTGAGTCGAGGATTTCGTCCACTTCCCACTCCTCTTCGCCATTGACAATGACTGGAGGCTCTGGCTCCTGTTGCTGCCCTTCGATTGCATCATTCGAGTCAAGTCTTAATAGATTGGCATAAAATACTGGATGAATCTTCATGCTGTTTGGAAGTTTGAGCCGATATGCAACTTGCCCAATTCGCTCTAGAATTTCAAAAGGTCCCACTTGCTTGTGGTCTAGCTTCTTTGATGGCCTCTGTGTCTTTATATTTCGAGTTGAAAGCCATATTCTGTCTCCCACTTGATAGCGTGGTGCAGGTTTCCTTTTCTTGTTCGCGAAATGTTCCATTTTTGCTTGCGAGAGCG